TCATGGTGTCATAGTACTTAGTGGCAATTTTCTGCTGAAATAATTTTCACGAGGCTTTTTTCTACGGGTGTCTTGTGCTGACCTGTAGGCAGAACACTCTGAGGCAGTTACCCACAGCTGACGACTTAACGTAGCTTTGAAAGCTCACTGACAGGCCCTAAGCTGAAGTTAAAAAAGCTAGAATAAGATATTCCCTCATCTTCAAAAGGATCCTTCGTCACGCCATCCGCTGCTCTACAATCGCGATCACAAATACCATGAAAAGAGCGCAATTTTTAGCAACGGGTCGACTTTTCTTACGCCTGATAGTTTTTAAAATTGCTTTAGGTTCCCAGTAGAAACCCGAAATCACTAACAGATCACGTTTCATTACCATATTGGTTGATACCTCGGCATTGGACTATGCACTGGAGCACGTTAAACTCTTGCTTAGAAATTATGCTGTCGAACTGGGATTTTATGGGCGCAAACTGTTTTACTGTTTGTTGTTACTGTTTTCAGTTCCTGTGACCTCCCAAACGTAACTGCGCTGCATGCGGTGAGAAAGGTGTACATTGAGCTGTGTACGTTTCGTTTTCGTAATCGACGATGTATTGTTTTTTATTGAGCGTATTGAATCGTTTTGCTTTCTTTGATTTCGATCTTCGTTGGTCCGACCCAACCGTCACCGTGGTTGCAAGGTAATATGTAAAGCGGCCACTGGGCGCGGCTCCAGTTAGTCTTCAGTAGCTCGTGACTCAGTTGGATCACTAAATCGGTGCAGTATTGTCGAGAACTGCACACCAGATTGACCTAGCGTCGTGGACTTCCAGCAGTGCGATATGATCAGGGGTTGACCTCCCTCATTCGGTCGACGTGCGGAACGCACAGTGTGTGCATTGCATGCAATCTGCAACACGGGTGTCAAAATCAAGCCAGCCCCGGGTGGCAGCGGCGGGGATTAATCCAGCTTCACTTCACTGAGAAATAGCGGCCGGTGGTAAAGGTGCAAATGCCCGCGCGACGGGTCAGGCTAGCTCGAGCGTAAATCAAGTCCCCTTCCCATGAGCGGACCTCGCGAACCAAGCCAGATCGGTTGAAATCAGTTGCGCTGTGTTGACTACGACTTACAACTGATCTACCTCGCTGGGCATTCGTGCTTCCGGCCATCTGATGGGAGCGGGCGATATTGCCTCATTAAAGCCTGTCTTAACTTCAGACTGTACCACCGATAACAAAAATGAGGCGACTTTCATGATTTCCTAAATAGTTGTTGCTTTGCGATGCCAACCGGCTTGGTTTGGAATTCCACGAAGCTAGGAGCCCCTGTTCTATCCGTGTTGCAGATCACATACCACCAGACTCCGGTGAGAATGCGCTTTTGGGAGTATGTCCGTATGAGTATGACAAGAGGACTTGGAAAGCAAGCAATTGTGACCAATACGCATACAAAATAACTGGATTCGTCAGGGGTATTTTACCACCAAAACATGCGTATGTTTCTTGTAGAATGAAACGAGGGTTGTGGTATAAACAATTACCCTCCAGCGCAGAAAGTATATGATGAATGGAAATATTGGCATGTCTTCGCTGCCAATCTTCTGCTCACGCTGCCGTAGCGCTAAGGCCTGAACGCCTGTCGCCGTTGGGGTGAAATAGTGATTGTGTCTGCGCCCTATGGGCCCGTTCTAATGTCAAGACTGAGGAGAATTTCGCCAAGATAGAAAGCAACCGGCGTCCAACAAAAATGTTGTATTTTCTCTAGAAAAGCCGCAGGTTTCTAGGTACATCATTCGCAGGCAAACCTACGCGTCCTGGCTGCTTTTTTGTCGGAATTGAAACCCACACGAATATACTAGCCACAGCACATGTTAAGCGTATCCATGATATTTATTATAAAACGGTGCATAAAATTTGGGGCTTTAAGTCATCCCATTTTGAACGGGTCACCGGATCTGCGAGCGGTGCAGGTTCGCGCACGCAACTGGTAGATATTGTGGTGTTCCGAATTACTACGATATACGCTTTCCTTCAACCGTCAGCTGCTCAACGCCTCAGTAGACGGAAGGTCACGCACATGATAGGTTTGAGATCCACGGGAAAAAAATGGAACGCTCCTGCACGCGTACGCAGCATGAGTACGGCGTCGCCTTCCACCCAAAAACATGATTTTGAGTCGACTCATCTCGCCATCGGTACGTACCAATCTCAATAATCGAAGGACATTGGTCAATTTGATGCGACAACGCAGTGTTAGACATTCAAAAAGCGTTGGAATGCTCTCTTAGGAAATTACGTCATTGAAATTAGGTTCAAGAATAATTCGATTAACCTTTGGTCAGGTATAGAGGTAAGGTCATGGTCAAGCCAAGCCGCTTTATTTCTAGAAATCTTGCTTTATGTGGTAGGCTCTGACACGCATGTCAAATTGCTGGATCGTGACGTCAAAAGATTCCGTATGTGTACTCGATAAAGGTCAGTGGAGGTCACTGGTCTGAAGTGACCGCGATCAACCTTTTTGCTTTGGGTAGCATGCCGCTTAGAGTAGTGCTTGGCGTCAGTTGTAAATTCAAATACTGAAATAAGCCCGGGGATATTCTTGAGTTTTATTATTTTAAGGTCAGATAAGGTCACTGACGTGCTGCGAACCCATTTCGTCATGAGAGGCATCTAGGTTAAAGCGGGTTGCATGCGGAGATCTCGGGGCACTTTGGACACCGATGTGAAGTTTGACCTTTTTGACGTCATTTGACCTAAAGTTTATGACCTAAGGATGTCAAGATTTGACGCACAATAGTTCACATAGAGGCCTACCCACTCTCTATATCTAGTGTCTCTAACTCTCTTTGTTTTCGAGATCTCGGGGTGGGGGAATCAAATTGACTCCTCCCCGCCCGAGCGCGGAGCATTTAACCGGCCACCCAGGAGCGTGTTACTCACAGATAGAGCCGGGAACGTTTGCCATCCTCATATCATGGTACTGACTCACTGATCTGCATTGTCCGTGTTGCGGGTGTGATGTGCTCACTAAATTCGGTGGCTTTATATTTTTAGGTCGTTCATTGTTTTGCCAATGACGGGGTGCAACGAGACACGGTCGTATCGCACAGGACCTTTGGTTATTTCAGTATGAAGCAACTACGCTTGGATAATGATTTTCATACCAAGTTTTACCGTCACATTTCAACTTCATAGTAGTGATGTTTGTTGTGTAATTGCAGAAGAGTGCAAACGTTTTCACACATGCAACGTGCAAGGTACCGTTCTGATGGCATTGTTTATGGTTCGACATATCTCTCGACTGTTGCCTATTTCCAAAGCAGGTGGCGCTGGCCGCTCATCGGTGATCGGGCCGTGGTGAAAAGGCGCCCAAAATAGATGCATGAACCTTGGGCGTGCACCATTGCATATGTTATGACTTGGAACGCGTGAAGACATATCTACCTGCTGAACTCGGTAGTTATAGCTTTATACATTAGTGATTTGGAGGAATCTGGGTTAAAACTCTGAGCGTGGGTCAGATGCTCTGATCTGCATGCACGCGCGCAACGCGCACTCCATGATGTTAAACCAACACACCGCACTTTGCAGCGCTGACTAAGCTCTGCCCTGCAGCTGTGCAGTGATGACTTAAGCTATTACAACGGTTTACTTTCTAAGGCGCGTGAGGTCAACGGAGGCTGGGGGGCGGTGAGGCACTGAGACACGTGGCGCATGAGGCGCGGATCGGTTCTGGGCCAGCGCCGCAGTCTGCGCGCCGGTGGGGCATACCCAGCAGCGAAGGTTTGGTGCCGACCGGCCGAGCCGTTTAGGCGCAGCACCCACGCAAACTAACACTCTCGCAGACTGAAAGGTAAACACAGCCGAAATGCTCGGAGCGTCCGCCGTGGATGAAATAGTCATCGCTAGAAGCGTGCTGCAAACGTTTGCGCTCTCCGATTTTGAACAAAGTTTTGCTCATAATTATTGCAGACACAGCAGGCATGACGACGAAGCCAGCCTCCTGGTTTCAAGGCTGAATTTTTAGCCAGTGACAGACGAAGAAACAAAGCTGAAGTCGAAGCTGAAGCCGATGGCTTCAGTGTTTGAATCTGCGAGCCGAAGGCGAAGCCAGCGACTTCGCATCTTTCCAAACGTGAAGACGAATCCGAAGCCGGTGACTTCGAACTTTGTACGCGCAAAGCCGAAGCCAAAGTCAGCTTCGTCCCCATGCCCGAAGCAAAGATCATTCAGACGAAGGGAAAATTGGTTACATTCCGTCGACTGAAAACAGCCATGCCGTGGGCTGCTAGTCCATGCGTATAATTTTGAGTTGGTGTATCCGGTCTCAGAATGACCATGAGCTGTCGGATTCCACCGGAATGGCGATCGTCTGGACGTTAACCCTGAATGCGTTTTGGTCTACTTGCATAGGTCTTCGATTCGTCTGACGTGAAAGCACATCCACATGTCATCTGCACGCCTTTTCCACGCCAACCAAGTCGCCTCGCCAGTGGTTTTCTATGGGAGACTGGTTAGGGTGTATTGTACGGGATATTGTGTTCAGTTACACGCTTTGTGGCCATGTTTTTTATTCAACGGCATTAGGACTTTTATTCGAAGCATGTTGATATGTCAGGAACTGATAATCAAGAGGTTCCCAGTGTCGCATGCTCATTGCCTTTTTGCTGTTTGATAGGTCATTGATTGAACTGAATGGGTCACATTTGATACTACTCGTTTCCTGCGATGCCAACTCAACAGTTATTTGATTAACCATGTTTGGTCCAATCCAAAATGGGTCACTTCCGCCGTTCCGCTGGCTGGATCGCAGGCTGCTTTTCTGGGATGCGAGCGTTAACACCTGCCATTTGCCACACTGTTCTGGCCATTTGCTGGACGCTCGACGAGCCAGTTGACGGTGACTGTTGAGCACTGGGGTTGGGTGAGACATCAGCAGGGTTCAGAACCGAGCATATCGCCTGCCCTGATCTCCATAGCGTGACCTCTGTGTGACAGTGGCCGCCGCCCCGTGCCGGCAGACTCCGTGACGTCCATGATGAACGGCGTGGAGCTGGAAGGTCTGACGTCGAACGGAGGCGTGCATGCCGCCCAGGCCGACTCGAAGCCGGGCCACGGCGCCGTCAGCAGCGGCGGCGGCACCAGCCCTGGGCCCGGGCCCGGCCACGCGCCCCAGTCCTGCCAGACCGAGGAGTCCAAGACCAACCTGATCGTCAACTACCTGCCGCAGACCATGTCGCAGGAGGAGATTCGCAGCCTCTTCTCCAGCGTTGGCGAGGTCGAGAGCTGCAAGCTGATCCGCGACAAGGTGACAGGTACGGACGCGTGCGGCGCGCAGGCAGGGGCCGGGTTCGGCGCCGGACTGGTTTGCTCTGTCGCCTAGACTCGCCCCGCGCTGCGTCATGTTCGTCGCTGAGATGTTTGGTCCTCCGGCCAGGGCGTCGTCGGGTGTCCCTCGGGAGGTTTTCAGCTCTCCAGCGCAGGACGCAGTACCTGTGGAGCCGAGAGACAGGCGGCCGTGGTTAGCTGACTGTTATGCTACTTGGGTAGGCGGTACACATGTAGCCTGCAGGTGCATAAGATCGTGGAACCTCCCCGAGCTGCGGAGCCTTAAAAAAACTGAGCCGCTGAAGTTGTGCATCAGGTGAACTGATCTTGTCACATCCACTCAGGCACTGTTTTGAACCCGGTGCCCTGAAAAGTATGCAAACAAAGTAACAAAAGTAAAAACTGTAGCTTGACTTGGTTGGCTGCACTCTGCAAAGTGCTGCTTTTATATCAATCCATTGTCTCTCTTGCCGGTGCATACTGTCACAAGTGTAGAAACGATTTTAAACTATGTTTCGTATTCATTTGCGACCGTTTCTAGGACACTGGGAACCGGGCTTCCGCGTCCTCTGGAGCCGGTATCTGAAATATGTATCGTGGTAGCCTTGCCAAACAAGAAACATCAGTCGAAATTGAGTGACATGTTTGACAGCTGGCAACCACCATCTACTTTCGTTCGTGTGTTGTTCCTACATGATTGATAACTTCCCGAGCAACTAACCATCCCGTCGTTTCCAGTACGCTTGTAATGCAAGTCCGCCCACTGTCACTTGTGCTCGGTGTGCCAGTATGTAAGCTGGCGTCCTGCGAAAGGGCAAGCCGAAATTATTTCAAAGGCACAACAAGTATTCAGTATGCCGAAGCTGCCATGGATTACTTGTGCGCAAAACGCGTTTTGTGTGTGTGTATCCGAGTGGAATGTGGTACCAAATGTATGGGCAGTGCAGCTGGCACGGCACCAGGCGGCTGTCCGCACGCCGTGTAAGCGATCTGGAGGCACCGCAGCCGGGGCTGGGTGTCGGCGGAGACTATCCAGCCGCTCCTCTCACCCCCGGAGGCTCAGCACAGAGAATGCCAGGGGAGGGCCAGGGGATTTACGGAAAGCCCTATTGACAGACACCGCATAGATCTGTCCCTCGCCCACTGCCCCTCCGCAAGGGCAGCTGCAAGCGTTCTGCCGCGGCTGGTTGACCGACAGAACGCTGCGGATGGTGCAACAATGCGTAGAAATACAGGGTGCATTTTGGCTTCCAGCGTTTTTTGCCTACGTTTCTGAGAACGGTCGAGGTCGTCCACCCTGCCATAGTCGCAGCAGATAGTCGGCGGTCCTCATGTAGCGGTCAGGCGTGCTGGCCGCCCGGCCTGGCCGTCCTGACTGGCCGTCCGGCGCAGTGTGCTGGCGCCCCCCGGCCCGCCGCCGGTCCAGCTGGCCGCTCGGGCGTGGTCCAGCCGCTGGCCGCCACGTGCGCGTCGCGCCGCCGGCCGTCCGATCGGCCGCTGGTCATCGACCGAGCCGCGGCGGCCGTCCCCTGCACGGCGGTGGCGGCGGCAGCGGCGACGGCTGACGTCATGGCAACGCCCTGGGGGAGCCGCCGTCGCCGACGACGCAACCACGAGTGCTGGCTAGCGCTGGCATGGTGCGTCATGCGCTTCGGCCGTGGCATGAGCAAGCAGACTGTGCTCTGGCTCATTGGTAGCGTATGACTGATAGCGGCCTTCGTGAATAGCACCGCATCGATAGTTGGCTGGGTTTCATAATGCACTGGCCCTCCATCCATGTGCCAAGGAGTCGATTGTTAGCGTGTATGAAAGGAAGATGTAGGGAACGATCGATTCAGTTTGTGTCGATCGTCGTTGCCCTGCGGCTCGGCTTCCTCCCGTACTTTATGGCAGTGGTGGTGCTCAGAATTCAAGCACCTCGAGCAGACCAACTTTAGAAGACGGGACTAAAAATACATTGAGCCAGGGCGCAACAATAGGTGAACTCCCTAACCTCACTGTCCGCATTCCTGGCGTGTTTACGCAAACGAGCATGGTGATTGCTGTCAGAAGATCATCCGTGACTGGATAAGAGCATTCCTCCTCGTAAAAGAACATTGAGAAATGCTGTTGCCGCCGTCGATGCCTGGTGCCAAAAAGCCAGCGGTCAGATAGCTAGAATAGTGAACGTGCCATTTGTGAGCACCACTGAGGTGAGCACATGCCATATGGATGGAATGGGCGGGCGGAGGGGCGCTGCAAAGGAAGTGTCTTGCAAGCCGTGGGCGGCACCGGTGTCGCGGGTGCGTCGGCGCTGCGGCGGCGGCGTTGGCGGCGGCTGCGGCGGCTGCGGCGGGCCAGCTGAGCACCGTTTGGACCCAGGCGCCGCCGACGCTGCATAGCCCGTGTGCAGGCGGACGTGTCGCCGTCATATTTTAGCCGGAATGGCGGTAAGGGCGGCCGACTCCGCGGCTGTGCCATAGGCCAGGTGCGGCGTGGCTGTGCCGTAAAACCCGCCGCCGCCTCTGCCCGGGCAGAGGGGAGGAGCAAGAGGTGCAGCTCGGTGCCGCGGCCGGCCGGACCAGAGACCGGGCCGGGACCCGCCGCTGGTTGTCTCGAAACCAGAGGCTCGGCTCCGTGTCGTGCACCGGTCAGCCAGGAGTCGGCGCGACCGTTTGTGTCCGGCCAGCGGTGGCCGGTAACAGCCTACACACTGCCCACAGATAGACACTGCACAGCTGCTCGCTGCTAGGCCACTTTGGTAAACAGTTGGAGCGTTCGACGAGTTGATGCATTTGGAAAGGTCAGCCGTCTGCACGGCCGGCGCCCGCCGCCTGGTATCTGGCGACTGTCACTTCTGGTCAGGTGCACAGGCCAGGAAAATGGATATGACACATTTGGCATCGTGTCGTCCGTGGCCGTCGAGTTTCAGCGTGACTTGGAACTCTGATTTCTTTCATAACGCCATGGGGCTAAAACAAAATATTGCTGACAGGAAGGCAGCTGTGCCTTGTCAAGGCTCCATCCCACGCCCGCCGCTTCTGCCGGGGGGACGGACCGATGGGTTCTAGGCAATCGGAAACCAAAGGATCGTCGGTACCGCGTTGGAATGCATGTCAGGTGCCGCCCTCGCTAGCAGTACACCTGATCAGCCCGTTTGCATCGCAAATTAGTGTTGTCAGGCGGCTCGACCCTCACACTGAAGTCTATGGCGCCCGGAGCTTGACGCAAACCTGTTCCAGAAAATTAATGGTTTGTGTCCGGGAAATACGGTGGAGAAGCTAGCAAATTATTAGCTGAGTTGCGCAAACAACGTTGCAAGTGTTATGCTTTCATAAAGCAGACAGAAATGTGCACGCCGTATGCTCAATATTCGTCGGCGATTAATGCTGGCGAACGCTCTGCATGTAATTCGGTATCTGGCTGGTTTGTGACTGCCAAAATGTGCTGCAGAGCTCCAAATGTGTCCCATTTTGAGCGCATTCAATAGGTCAGGGCATGACATGCAAGCACGTGCATAGTAAACTTTTTTTTAAACATGGAGGGGAACTTTTCGCATGGTAGGCTGATCGTGTGCAATGCTGTAAAAAGACGGTCTGTTGTGGACTTTGTTATCAGCCGGCGTTTGCAAACAGCTGTTTGTCACAAAATGATCTCACTTATCACCTGTACAGTGTCCATCCGCTGCGATTATTGGATGCATTAAGGATGCCTTATTGTTGAGTTAATATTTCTTAATGTTTACTGTTTTGTATTCAGATGAAATGCTTGGTGTTCATTGATGTGCCGTGCATTTTGTTTTAATATTAAAAGTTTCGGTGTTATTGATGTACTTTCACTATGTGAGATGTTAGATGTGCATTAATGATGAGCACGCGAGAGCTGCGGTTTAAACAAAAGGGTTCATTTGTAAGTTACTTGCCGTTGAATCTGTCGTCTGGCTGTAATTGCACACGGCGTCTGGAAAATGGTGCTATATATATATATTCTGGGTGGCTGCTGCTGAGCAAACAAATGCGTTCGGTGCCGCGGGTGCACGCAGTGCCGCCTGGCCACAGCGGGGCTCCGGGAGCCTGTGGCCGCGGATACACGCGGTGCCGCCTGCCCAGACCGCGGGCGCACGCAGTGCCGCCTGGCCAAGCTGCGGGTGCACGCAGTGCCGCCTGGCCACAGCGAGGCTCTGGGAGCCTGTGACCGCGGATACACGCGGTGCCGCCTGCCCAGGCGGCGGTCGCACGCAGTGCCGCCTGGCCACAGCGAGGCTCCGGGAGCCTGTGGCCGCGCCTAGCGCCAACTGTTAGGTAAACGGGGCTGCCGTGCTCTTGGCAGTGTGCCGCGTACATTCCGCCGCCAATGCGCGCCTCCCCTCTCAGTTCTCCTGAAACTCCAGCTTTGATGAGTCAAGTTGTCCCGTAAACCCTTCTACGTTATGGGAGTCTTCGACCTTCGTGGAGCAACTTGAGCTGTTTCCGGCCCTTCAGGCGCTGCAGGTTTTAAGTGGGTCTCGGGGCCCCCTCAGTGTCCAGGAGCCAGATGTGAGCGTTTCGCGACTTAATATCCGCCTTGGCGTCTCTCTGGTGGTCGCAGATCCGGTACCTTCAACCCATCGTTGACTCCCAAGAGGCATGCGACCAGCCAGCCGCTGGTAGCTTGCCCGACCGCTTTGATTTCTGTCATACAGTCCCAGATACACACGTTGAAGCTAAGAACAAACGCTCAAACAGGCCGCACGCCTTGCCAGCTTCTCTGTTGTTTTGGATAGCTTACCTGTTAATCACTGCTGGCGTAGTGATGTCAGCAAAGTTGTTACGTTGCTTCATGGAATAGACATTTTTAAGTTCCTGCTATAGGCAATGCAAAGAAAGTCTAGTATTTATATCTGAAACTTATCAGAATGTTGTCCGTTCTGTCTAAGTTTGTTTGCGCAGGACGCGTTGTACATTTGCTTAGCCACGGGTCGGCTGCCACGCCGGGGGCTGGTCCTCCAGCAGCCGTCGTCAGCTCTCCGCAGCTGTTAGCGGACTGGTGCGGGCGCGCCGACGGCTGTCGCCCTGAGCCGGCCAGTCAGTCGGCGGCGGCGCGACGCCGGGCCCCTGGCTGCCGCCGCCGGCCTGCGGGCCTCCAGGCGTGCCGCGTGGCCGCAGCGGGCGCCGACCGCCGGCTCCGCGGTGGCGCGATCGTGTAGCGCTCTGAACGGACGAAGCTTTGGTGGCGTGAAATGGACGGGCGACGGCGACGGCGACGGCGGCGGCCGCCGCGGCGAGGCTGCGCCGCACCCGGCGGCCGTCTCGTCGACATCCCTTGGCGCAGTTGGGGGTGACCGTCGGACGCGCCGCCTCTGTGAGACGAGCACTCTGCCGGGTTGCTCTTCCGGTGAAGTGCTGGTATTGAAAGGCCTGTCGGCGGCTGCGTTCGGTGGAGTTGTGTTCTGAAATGCCTTGAAGCATTGGCTTTTGAGGGCTGGATACAAAATGGATATGAATGCTGACCGGCGGACGGTCCAGAGACGTCACTAGGCTGGCGGAACGCCAGGCATCGGCGCGCCGAATGGCATAGTTTCTCAGTTGCGCGACGATTTACGAGCGGCCACTGTTGTGTCCAAGCCGTGGACGGGCACGCGACATTGCGAAAAAGCATGCGCGCTGTCTGGCCGACTTCCGTCCGGCTGGCGCGGCGTCCTCGGTGCCCGTCCGCGAGCCGACGCCGCCCGCCTGTTTACGACCGGGCCGCCAAAATAGCTACAGTGCGATGTTTAGGTTGCAGCGGCGGCGGGTGGCGGCGCGGCGGTGGCGGCGACGGCGGCAGCGGCGGTGGGCGGACTGTGTCGACCTGCGTCCGCTGCGGCGGGCGGCGAGCGCCGTCGGCGCCCGGTCGGCGCTCCTGGCAGCGGGGGCGCTCCGGCCCGGCCCGGCCCGGCCCGGCTCGGCGCCGTGCCCGACGATTAGAGCCGCTACCGGCCGGCTGGAGGGCCGGCGCCGGTCGACTTCGGCGGACTCGGCGGAACGCGACTGTCTCTCTCGGATGCGGTGCGCCCGCACACAATGGCTGCCGTGTGATGTCAGCTATTTCGGGGCATTGGCAGAGACGCGCGGGGGGTAGGTCAGGACGCCCTGTAACCGGAGCCGCGTCCTGCTGGAATGTAGCAGCGAGTGACGGCGCCGGCGGCCCGGTCGGTTTCGGTGACAGTGACGGGCCGCCGCCGCCGCCGCCTGCCGACGGCCCGTCACCGACACCTGTCGTCACGAACGGCCGCCGGCCGCCCGCTGCCAGGCCGGCCCACTCGGCCGGCGCACGGCGGCCCCGTCTGCTCGGCGAGTCCAGCGACCGCTGGAGCGCCCTGAGAGACGCGGACGTCGATGCAGACGCGCGCCGCACGCGTAGCAGGCATGATCCTCGCGGACAGCGAACCAAGCATGGCTTACACAGCTGAGACCTTGAACTGCGAGACCAGCCGTCTGAACGCGGCGAAGCAGTGTCGCCCGGCTCAGAGCCGGTATGGAAGGAACGACCGGAGCGCGTCACCGCGCCGGTACCCGGCGATCTCTATGTAGCTTGGAGGCCAGCCACCCTCCACGTCAGGCAGCACAGGACCGGCGGCTGACGAGGCCCCCGTCTATGGATGGGTGCACGCTCTGGGTGGATGTCTGCCCCGAACGCATTTTACCTGGTCTGGTTAAAACATTGTCAGCCGGTTCCTTGTAAGCTATTTCATGCAGGTTTTACCCCTAACCGGTGAGAAGGCCCCCAGTTCGTTTGTTCAGCTAGCTGTGAGTGGGTGACCTGAGGTGCAGATGGGCCCGTCGGCCGCAGCTAGTTGTGGTTGAGAAAAATACAGTGCAGTCGACAACGTATGGCAGTGATATCGTTTTGTCTTTATATTGTGCGTTCACCTGCTTTTGCTTATCCCTCTGTGATCTGTGTTAAACCCGTTCGTCCGGCTTACGAAGCCAGGCCGAGCCGGGGCCCGCGGCGCCGCTGAGTGGGCACGGCTTTCCCTCTCTCGTCACCCGGGCCAGCCGGGCCGGCCGCGTACGTAGCGGCCGCTGGCGCACTGAAGGGCATCGTCCCCCTCCCCCCCCCCCCCCCCCCCCCCCCCCCCCCCCACCATACACACTCCTCTATTGTTCTCTGCCTTGCTCTCCTTATTGCCCTGGCAGTGTATGCAGCGAGCAGCATTCTTGGGGCAGCAGGGGTTCGGTTACTGTTTTGCATGTAATTGCATTGTCTGCTTTATGTGATATTGAAATTGTCTGACTGTGGTTGTGGTTCTAACAGAAGCTCTCGTACGTCGCCGATCATTGCCTTTTGTTGTACGATTTCAGAAATCTGACTCGCGACTCTGTTGGAGTGTTTCGGGTCCTGTGAAAGTGACGGTTGCTTAAGGTTGCCCTTAAGGTGTTCCCGCGCTCTAGTGAGCTTAATGGATTGACAGATGATGAGGCGTGTCGTGTGTTGGCTGCTGCTGGCTACCGTCCGGCCGGCGTCGGTGCCGTGGGCGGCCCGCTGTCCCAGGCGCCGTGACAGGACAGCGCCTGACACTGGGTGGCCGCGATGAGAGGCGTGTTTGTACGCGGCCGGCTGGCCTGCCTCCAGAGCCGGCGAGTGATTCGGCGTGGCGGCTGCGGCTGGGTTCGGGTACGGTGTCGGGGTGGCCCCCCCCCCCCGCTTCTGGTGCGGTGTCGGATGGTCCACGCCGCTCAGATGTTCGGTGTGAAGGGGGGCGGGCTGCCGTCTCAGTGGCGACGGTGTGCCCTCCGACCCCGCCGGACCGGGTGACCTTCGCGGCCGCCAGCAGCGCGGCGCCTGCAGGCCGCCCACAACTCGGCCGAATTTACAGCCGTGACAACCTTTCGAGTCGGCTTAATCGGACGATGGCGGCCGGCGAGACTTTGGGCGTCGTTGACTATGTGCCTGATGACCCCACCGCCACTGGCTGACCCCAGCTACCCTCTCTCTCTGGCAGGTCAGAGCTTAGGGTATGGCTTTGTCAACTACCATAAAATTGAGGACGCTGAGAAGGCTATCAGCACGCTGAACGGACTGCGACTACAGAACAAAACCATCAAGGTACGTGAACTGGGGCTGGCTGGCTGTGACCGAAGCTTCTGCCCACTGGCAGACGCGGTTTGCTGCGACTTTTGCTGCGTAATATTCCTCACCGGCGCGGCGACCAAGTGCACGTCGCGCGCCGCCTGCGACACCTGCTTGCCCGCGCGTCGACAGCTAATGACTTGAGTCTTCGCCAGTCGGGTCGTCTTGCGGCCCAACTTTTCCTAGCTCTGAATGGCTTCCTGCGCCGTGATGGCGGTGATTTTTTTCCCCCTTTCGCCGCCGCGGCGCACATTGGGCGGCGGTCAATGGCGGCTGGCGGCTGGCGGCGGCGCTCGGCACGGGCTGCATTATTCACCAGCAGCCGTCTTGTGCGGCTGTTGTGGTGTGGCCCGGCTGGCTGTCGGCGCGACCGCTGCGGTGTGGCGCAGGCGGGCGGGCGTGGTCCCGGTCGATAGGCGAGCTGTCGCCGGCCCGGCGGGCGGGGGGCGCGGCGGACGCGGCCAGCTCGGCCCGGCCAGCTCGGCCAGAGCCGCCCGTGTTGCGATGGCCGGGAGGGCGATGTGACCCGGAGGTGGACGGCTCTCGCCAGGGGCGCGTGGGGCAGCCGGGCGGGCGTGACCAGGGCGGTGTCAACCGCCCGCCTCGTCCAGGCGACCGGCCAGAGCAGGCCGGTGGCCGCGACCTCTGCGCCCGACGCCAGCCGGCCTGCCTGTGGAGCGGGCCGCCGCTGAGCCGGCGGGCGGAGGTGGGAAGCGGACCCGAGCCGGGCCGGCTGGCTCTTCTCCCGCACGCAGCCGGTAATGACGCGACGCCACAGCTGTCGGGCGGGCCGGCACCTGCAGCCTGCCGCGCGCCGCGCGCGCGTCGCTACACGCCGCCCTCGGCCCGCTCCTCCCCTCCGCTGCGGGCGCTTCGAGCAGGCGGCTACACACCGCACAGCGCGGGCGGCGGTGCCGACGCCTCGGCCTGCGTTCTATGAACGTGTCTTCCGACAGTCTCTGGACGTCGGGGGCTGTCTTCTTCCGGCTTCCGAAGACTGGCTGCCGGACCAGTGCGTTTTATTGTACGGCTTTTGAAAAGAAGGCATCGCGCAGTGTATCGAACTATATTGCACGGGCTGTCACTCAGGCCCAGTGCCGGCTGCCATTTGACTGATCGGAATGGGCCGTGAGGATCCTAGCAATGGGTGTATCCAGAAGAAGTTGGATGTTAGTTGTTCACCATACTTTGTGATTTAGAACATGAAATCTTCGTGATCGCACGTCACCATTCGTAGGTATGTGTGCGTAGTGTAAGATCGGCAATGCTGATATATGTACTCACGTAGATGGGAAGTTGTACTCTTAAGTAAAAGACTCCCGCCCTGTTCGAGAGAATGGTGTCTAGGATCGCTTGATCTCGGCCAGAGTTCGCTGGTAATGCCGCTGCGGGCGCCGCTGTTGCCTAACTTTGGTTGATTTGATACTCAAGGTCGGCGTTGTCCGCTTCCGAGTAACCTGCTCGGTGGGAAGGGAGTGGAGCAATGGAGTGCGATATGCCGGGATCTGCCATCTGCGGCACGTGCAGTGTGCACAGTGTGAGCCAGGGCTCCGGCGGGCCCGAGCCACCACGCGGTCACGGTTGTGATGATTGCCCCAGCCCGCGGTCTCGGGCGGTGGGACGGCGCCGGTCGCCTGCCCAGTCGGGCGGCATCGCGTCGGCCGCTGCCCTCGCCGCGCCGGATCCGGTGGGAGCGGCCGACGCGCCGGCAGCTGCCGTCGGCCCTCCCCGGTCGCCATTGTCCGGGCGCGCCGCTCAGCTTGATGCGACAGCCGGCTTTGTGGCGCGCGTGCCGGCCGCCGAGCCGCTTTGTTAATTCAGGGCGGCGGCGGGGTGTGCGGCTCCGCTACAAGCGCACACGGGCGGGCGGCCGCGCGCGCAGATCGATGCCGTGCCGGCCCCCGGCCGCCGTTATCATGCTGCTCCCCCCAACAAGTCAACGGGCCGGCGGTCGGCAGCTGCCGCTGACGGCGGACGCCGGGGGAGGCCCGCCGGCCCGGCGGCCGCCGCCGGTAGCCGGCCGGCCGGCCCGGCACGCGCCGCCGCCCGCCCACGCACCGCCGTGCCCCCGGTGTCGGGGACGAGCGGCTGACGGATCCCGGTGTGCTCCGCCGCTGGCCGGATGGAGCGGGAGTTTATCGCGACTGGCCCCTCTCCCCTCGACCCTCCCCCGCCAGAGTGTGGGCAAGGACCTGGCGTGGGCTCGTTGTTTGTTCCTGCTTTGAGTGGAGCGCTGCGAGGTTGTCGACGCGCCCTGTCGGCTATCCCAGGGCGGACGGGAGCCGGTCGGACCCAGTCGGCGGTCAGATGGCAAAGCTGGGGTCACAAGCCTGGGGACAGCAGACGGCGGGGTCTAATGACGGCTGCCCGAACAGCTCTCACACAAGGCATCACTGAGATGGGAGGTCATCAGAAACGCAGTTTCCGAACCGACCATTGCCGTCTCAAGACATGCATTTAGAGCGCTCATTGCTTAGAGGCACAATGGGTACGCAGTGACTGGGGACGTCGTGGCTGACAAACAGCACTAGTATTGATTACTCATGGCGGTAACTTCTCGAGATTGATTTAAAGAAGCATCACCGGTAATTTCTGATCGAACAAAGCGATAGTGGCATCCGAACCCAGCGGCGACGCGACTCCTGCCTGGCCGGATTGATTGCGACTGCTCCCTTGCCGTGTCCGCTGTCACCGGGCGGGCGCGCTGTTTGCCGTGTCAGTCGGGTCGACAGCTGTCAGAGTGAGCATTCGCGATCAGTGCTCGGCGCCGCCCCCGACGGGCCGTGGCTGAAAGGCAACGGTCGGGGCCGGCGCTGGTGCGAAGACCGGCTCGTGCCTGCAGAACGGGCGTCGGCGGGCTGGGGGAGGGGCGCCCATCACGCGCTGGCACGTGCACCTGCCCCGCCCCCACCCCTGCCCCTCGGCCGGCTGACGAGCGGCGTTTTCCGGCCGGCGGCGGATTACGGTAACATCTCCCCCATCCCTGCACGCGTCCAGCGGCGGGTGCTGACACCCGGCCGGCTGCATATCCCTGCGCCGGTCAGCTGACCAAGTAGCGCTCGCCCGACGTCACCCTGTACAGTCTGGCGGGCACGTGAAGTCGGCTTCTCTGCCGAGCGTCGTGTCCCGCGGGAACCCGGCCCAACTTACGGGTCACATGTCGGAACCGTTCGCCTGCCGACATATTTACTATGGAATGTAGTTCGCAGTTACGTGAATGCTATTTGCACAAGGATTCACATGTAAATTGTTTGGGCTGGAGGGCGAGATGCGCGTAAGTTAGGAAATGCTTTAGTGAGCGCGCTAGCCGGGCGGCCGGCTGGGGCCAGATCGGGAGGGACGCTGCTATATGGTGGTCTGCTGAGGTCAGATCGGGAGGGGGGCTCACATAGTGGTCTGCTGAAGTCAGATCGGGAGGGAGGCTCACATGGTGGTCTGCTGAGGTCAGATCGGGAGGGAGGCTCCCATGGCGACCTGCTGAGGTCAGATCGGGAGTGAGGCTCCCATGGCGACCTGCTGAGATCAGATCGGGAAGGAGGCTCACATGGTGGTCTGCTGAGGTCAGATCGGGAGAGACGCTCACATGGTGGTCCGCTGATGTCAGATCGGGAGGGAGGCTCACATGGTGGTCTGCTGAGGTCAGATCGGGAGGGAGGCTCACATGGTGGTCTGCTGAGGTCAGATCGGGAGGGAGGCTCCCATGGCGACCTGCTGAGGTCAGATCGGGAGGGAGGCTCACATGGTGGTCCGCTGAGGTCAGATCGGGAGGGAGGCTCACATGGTGGTCCGCTGAGGTCAGATCGGGAGGGAGGCTCACATGGTGGTCTGCTGAGGTAAGATCGGGAGGGAGGCTCACATGGTGGTCCGCTGAGGTCAGATCGGGAGGGAGGCTCACATGGTGGTCTGCTGAGGTCAGATCGGGAGGGAGGCTCACATGGTGGTCTGCTGAGGTCAGATCGGGAGGGAGGCTCCCATGGCGACC